CTAGGCCAGTCTCTGGAACCAAGTCAATATATTTGATTATGTACCGTCAAGTCATTTTCAATTCCTAGCAACCACATAGGTTTTCTACATGACAATCTATACTTAACCTGGTCTTTCAGATCTTCCAACTGTATACTCATCACCACTAAAACTGAGTATATCCACCTTGCTGCTGGTCATCCTCTTCTTCTCTTTCCTTCCACCTTTCCCAGCATGACAGCCTTCTCCAGCATTAGAACTGGGTCTTTGTATAATGTGTCCAAAGCAGGATAATTTGACCTTGGTCATTTGTGCCTTGAGTGAGAACTGTCGGTTGATTTGTTCAATGATCCATTGGTTTGTTTTCTTGGCTGTCCACAGTATTCTCAGGAGTCTTCTCCAACACCAAAGTTCAAAGGTGTCAATACTCTTTGTATCTTGCTTTTTCAAAGTCCAACTTTCGCTTCCATAGTTTGTCACAGGGAATACCCTGGCTTGTACAATTCTGATCTTTGTAGGTATAGACACATCACAGCATTTGAATATCCTTTCCAAGGCCTTCATGGCTACTCTGCCAGTGCTAGTCTATGGCATATTTCTTGACTGCTTGTTCCTTTGATGGTTGATTCTAAAAGGCAGAAGCTATCCACCACTTCATATCTTCATTGCCAGTTCTAAGGCTGGTTATTCTACTAACCAGCCTTACTAATCTGTTGTCATTAGTTTGGACTTCTTTATATTTATTTTTAGTTCCATTTCTTTCACTTAGCTCCTTAATTTTTATTACTAGAGCTTGCAGATCCTTTGCATTTTCAGCTATCAGGATACAGGTAGTCCTCTGCAACAGGAATCTGAATGCAACAGGAATCTGAAAGGGATGATTCTCAGTTAGGTACTACAGGGATTGACTTTTCTAAATTGTTGGCTTGATTATGGATAACAAATATTTAACATGGAATATAAATGGAGCAAATGCTCCTCAAAAGAGAAAAAAAATATTTCACTATTTAAAAAAATTTACAATCGCTCAAGGTGAATTATCAAAAGGTTGTTGTTTTTTAATTTGATGGACAATTTAGGGTTGGTTGATGTATGGAGACAGAAAAATGGTAATTTAAGAGAGTACACTTATTTTCAGAAAGACATAGATCCTTTTCAAGAATAGATATGATTTAGATTTCAAAGAATTTGGTTACTAAGGTCTCTAAAGTAAAGATTTTACCAAAGACTTTTTCAGATCATAATCCTATGAGTTTGGTGTACAAAAGGAAACTTAGTTCTTTTAGATGGAGAGTGAATGAAACATTACAGAAAGAAGCAATACTGGAGGATTGTAAAAAGAAATTAATTTTTTTGAAAATAATTTAAATAAAGGCACTGATTTAAGAATGGTTTGGGATGCAAGTAAAGCTTGCATTTAGATTAGAGGTTATTTTATACACATAATAGTGAACTTAAAAAAAAGATGCAAGAGAAAACACAGGCTATTTTGGATGTGATATGGAATAGATACAACAAACCCAGGTTGTACCCGGAACACTTTTCGGCTCTCAGCACAAGAAGCATTCTATAGATGAGAAATGATAAGTAAACACAAATAGATAAATTATTGTGAGCTATAAGAATGGAATATAAAATGAAATCAAAAGATCTGGTGGCAGAAGGACATACTTGCCAATGGTTCTCTTAGGTACAATTACTAGAAAGATTTAAAGTACACAATGCATTTTTGGCTTTGAACAATGTGAGACTGAGTTTGAACTAGAACTGTGTGCAAATGATGAACATGTTATTGCTAAAATGTGCAGACTTTTATTGAAATCTGAAATGGAAGAAGAACAAGTGAAATAATGTATGATAAAGTGGGCCAAAATTTTTGGTTATAATATACAAATGGAACAGTGGGAGAATATGTGGATGAAAGGATTGAAATTTACATTATGTAAATCTCTCTTAAGGAGAATTTCTATAAAATGATGTATCATTGGTATTTGTCATCGGAGAAATTGTCTAGAATGTATAAAGTTACTTCAAATTTGTGTTGGAAATATGAACAAGAAAGGACGTTTTATCATACTTGGTAGACTTGTAAAAAAGCCAAAAAGTTTTGAATTCAAATGCATACTTTAATTCAGAAGATTTTAAAGATTAATATACAATTGAAACCAGAGGCTTTTCTTTTGGGACTGATGGACAAACAGTTGGAAAAAAGTCATGGAATTTTGTTTTTATACATAATTACTGCAGAAAGATTATTACATGCACAAAGGTAGAAAGTTTCGATGCTACCCACGATGAAGGAATGGATGGTGAAGATGATGGAACTTGCTCAGATGGCCAAATTAACTTCTTTGATTACAGAAAATATACTATCTACATTTCTTGTTCACTGGAAACCCCTTACAGACTTTTTGCATGTAACAGAAAAAAATGAGCTTATGATTTATGGGTTTGATTAGAAAAAAATAGCTTATAGAAAAAAATGAGTTAGGCTGTAACCTAGAGTAAGAGGTAAATTTACTGTATATTTATATTTATAACTGCTGTACAGAAAATCGGAAGCTATTTCTTTATATTTTCTTTTCTTTCTTTTTTCCATACTTTTGGCTTTGTCGTTTTGCATGTAACAAAATTTCTTTTGCTTTTTCTTCTTTATTCTATATTAGTTTTTATATTTCTTTTTTTTTTAATTAATAAAATTATATGAAAAAAAGATACTCCTCATTTAGCAGGTAGTCCTCGTTTAGCAACCACAATTGGGACTGGCAACGTGGTCACTAAGTGACATGGTCACTAAGTGGGAAATCACAGGACCACAATTGTACTTACGATTTTACTTCAGCTTTCCTTTTTCCCCACCCCCCACCCTTTGGAATGCTCACCCCAGCACTGGGATAATTAAGCAAGAAGGGAAATTATGTTTGTATTTACATTCATCGGAGAGGAAAGGGTTACTAGAGAGTAAGCAGGAATACAATGGGGAATGCACATCAAAAGGAATGCACTAGCACCTGCCCTGTGGTACATCATCCCCCTGGATATCAGTTTGGCCCCGACCCTGCTAACCTTTTGAAAGACCTCAAAAACATGGCTTTGCCAGTGGGCATAGGGACCTGGGAGTGTGGTAGAGCCGGCACAGTGGTTGTAATGAGCGTTATTAGTAATGTGATTATCTCGGCTATGAATTTTATGAATGTTTTTATGATGGTTTCTTATATGCTTTTGTATTGTTTTTATTGTTTTAAACTGTTGTATTGTTTGGTTGTTTTATACTGTTTTAACTGTTTGTAAGTTGCCCAGAATCATATATATGAAATGGGTGGCTATATAAATTGGAATAATAAATAAATAAATACAGTATTCAGGTTCAAGAAGGCTGGGAGACAGAAGCAGTAGGGCCAAGAAGACATGATGAGAGAGGTCCTATAAGACCCAAAGAAGCTGAGTGGCAGCAGCCAGGAAGAATGGTCAAAATAGGACTCAAAACCATTTGCCAAGACATCAACAGTTACAAGAAAAAGTCAGGCTAGAGAAGGCCAGAAATGATGAAGCCATAATGGGTCCAAGAGCAGGCCAAAGAAAGGTCAAGCCAAAGTGAACCAAATGGCCAAGAAAGGCAAAGCCAGAAGAGCCAATGCCAGAGGCTATTAGAGCACAGTCCAAGCCAGAAAAGCTAGAGCCAGATATGGCACATGGGGCTCTGGTGGCAATTTCAAGAAAAGCCAGCAGCATCCCAATACCATAATGGTCAAGCCCGACTGAAACAACTGATAACAGAGACCAGCCAGCAATAAAGACAGCCAAGGGAGAAGAAATTGGTTGGGTTTGGAATTAAGACCTGGAAAGAGTTAGGACAGATCTGAAGCCAGAGTAGAGGACTATAAACTGTAGAAAAATAAAATATATCAGAGAGTTAACCTATAGGAAGAATAATAAAATGTCAGAATAAAGATTAATATGGAAAACAGAATAGTGTTTAGAGAAGTATAACAGCCAATAGAAATAGTAGACACAAGATAAACACACTAACTATACATTAGAAAGTGATAGCTAATTTTTCTTTTGTAATAAAAACACATAACAACAAGTTTTCCAACTGGAACTGATGTTTGTGAATCCTGCTTCAGTCTGTACCATTCCTGAATTCATGACAGATAGATATAAATATATGTGTAGCTTTTTTCTTTTTCTTTTTAAAATATATCAATACAAAAAAAGTTTGGAAGCAATTTGTGAATGAACACATATCGTGATATGAACACAAAACAGCCTAATCTATCTACTCCTTATATAGACTTTTTTCCCAATGTGGAATTACAATATATGCATAAAATACATGGACTGCACTTAAAATGATACTGCATACATTTTTTTTTCTATCTAGAGATACTGTAGTGTGATTATAAATCAAAAGAAAAACAGAAGTCAGGAAATAGTTTACCTTTTTTGTAAATATTTCTGGTAAAACATTTTGATTGCCAGAATCAATATAGGTAATAAACACCCTAAAAAGAAAAGAAAAATTGCAAAGTGTCATAGTAAAAATACTTATATAAGATCAAGAAAACTAACACATGATTCAAATTTAGTTACTCACTCCTGCAAGTTAACAAGTCCTTAGGGCTGGAATATTATTTGGAAACTATTCCAGCCCTAAGGACTTGTTAATTGCAGGAATAAGTAATTATGCTGAGGACTATTACATCATTCACTTGAACAATCAGTAAGAACTTTAACTCAAAAGTTCACAGCCTTCATTTTTTATATATTAATGGTCAGAGAACTCGAAAAGAAACAAATTATTATTTCAAGAAGGTAAATTTGATTTAAGAGATATACTTGAGACATTGTTGGATCACTCTCATGAATAAAATACAGCAATCAAAGGATACAACTTGTACAAAAGTAACACAAGCATGTTGTATTGTTGGAGTCGAAGCTTGGATTTTGGGATGCAGATGTCTCATTATATTACCAGATAACTTCTCTGATGTGCAAGTTTTGGAGAAAGCCATATCAGAGTCCAGTAACAGGCTACTCCAACCATTTGGAATAACCTTGGCACGCAAATAAGAAAGATCCTTACAAAGCATATTAAGCAAGCCCAAAGACCCAGTACCAAGGGAAGAAAACAGGACTGCAGGGAATGTTAGAATACTACATTGGACAGGCAGGAAATTAGCAAAACATATCCACAAACACCAACTAGTAATCAAAAAATACAGTATGACTTCACTAATCTCCCTCCACCCAAATAACCATAGGCTTAACCAACTGGGAAACAGTGGAAATCTTAGAACTAGCCAGATTTAAATATGCAAAAGAATTCTTAGAAGCACTGCACTCAAGCAGTGATCAGCAGACATATAGACTTAAAGCTTTCTAAGTACATATCAAAAGACATTACCAAAGACCCACAGTTAACACATCGCCTCCACAAAACCATTTTCCCAAACACCTAGATAAGCTACAGCCATCTCCCTAACATCCTAATCGTTAACTGCTCAGAGGGTCTTTGGGGATAAACACGATGCAACTATAGTAAGTAAGTAAAGAAGCAAATTCATACATACATACACACAAATAACTGATAATCATCTATAGTTCAACAGTCACAGGAAAAGAACACCTTCCCAATGCACCATCTCACCATACAATTATCAACTCCACCAATCACAAAGGTTGCAATCAAAACAGAGGTAAGACAGAATCACCACCTTATCAGCCAAATAAATGATCTACCAACATCAAGGATCAGTCACTTGCAAACAAACCATCTACCCATGGAATATCCCATCCAAGCATGTGCAAAGCTGGTAGACAGAAGGATAGGTAACTTCTATCAATTTAAACCATTCATTTCTCCAGAACGCCTCCACTAATATTACCTAGCAGGGTAATGAAATGACTGTAACCCAAAACCCAAGCATGGAGAACTCCCACAACATGAATGCAAACCCAAGCTATACATGTTCATTACCATCTCAGGAACAGAAACAACAGAGACAAAATTGTGTTCTGTGTTAAAAATATTCATATCTGCACAGATCAAGGGAGGAAACTTGGTGGTACAGTTGAGAGCTTCTGGGTTAAAATGAATGAAAGAAATAAAATCAGGACTTTGTGTTTACTTGCCAGCCTCCCAACAAAGAAGTAGATGACATTTCCAAAAAGCAAACTGGAAATCTTTCAAAGGAGCATGGAACAGTACTAATTCTATTTTCATTTTCAAGGTTACATACCAAGTATAAGTAGTTTGAGGAAGGCACCTAAAAAAAGGAGAAAAATTGCTGTGGTAAGTGAATTGCTTACAAAGTGAACATGTAGGTTATTTATGGAAAGATGAATTATTCAGCCTAAAAAAATCATCAGAAATTATTAGCTAATAAGTTCTACAGGCAAGTTCATGTAAAATATTCTAATATATCGATATATATCGATATCGATATAAAATGAGCTTTCAACCTGAAAACCTCTTGAACAATCAAGAAATCATATAGTTTTAAAAGAATATAAATTGATCCTACTCATTCTAAAATCATAACTTTTTATTTGAGATAACATTTCCTTTTAAAAATACAAAAGGTAGTGTATTATTTTAAAATAATTTAAATAAACATAAATAAATGAATGGATGAAGAATATTTATTTATTTGTGGATATACTCTTTATTATATCCTAAAGTACAATGCTGCCAGATCACACAAGCAGAGGATCTAAGAGGAACTCAGATGGCTCCTGAATACTTTCTCATTTGAGGAAAATCCTAATTAAAACTGCCTCCAAATAGTCCTGTGAGAAGGAAAAAGTGATGCCTCTTCAGGACCAGGACTTAAGGAAGACAGTAATTACAGTCACCTATCATGGGTAAACTGGAGGCAAACATTTCTTCAGAAGCAGAAACAATGGAGGAAAAGACCTGTTAGAACTCACATTTCCACATGGTCCTACAGAGAAGATTTATCTGGTTGCAAAGATTAAGATACAGTGAGCAGCTGAGGTTAAGAGCTGGCAGAATCAGGAATTTCCTGATTGACTGATTAAGCTCCATGTAGGAGGAGATACAGATTTAAGCAAGCTTACTGCTCACTCTTATCACTGCTTGCAATTGAAATCCTCATTCTGTGCTTCTCTGTGTCTGCCAAACTGTGTACTTGAACCTTGAACTGTTCTATGAGTTTCTGTACTTGCCTGTACTTCTGCTCCTCCAAAAACCAACCCAGCTACCAATACTTGTTGCTCTATTTTATGAGCTAGTTTCTTCCTCAAACTCTCTCTTTCAGCTTGCTTGGCCTCACATGGCTTTACCAATGGAGTTTGGACTGGACAAATGTGCCACCCTTACCATCAACAGGGGGAAAATAGTGAA